GTCAGGGTAGTACTTTCTCGCAGTTTCGCATGAGAAATGGAAAAATTTTTTAATGGAAGCGATCTGTTGGCCTACAAATTAAAATATAGAGATTTATAACGATATGCTGGATCTCATTCACTGAGGATGAAAGCTCCTGACGAGTATACTGTATAAACATGTGTCAAAATTTCCATTTTTGGTGTGATGATGTCGAATGATAAACTATCGGATCAAATTAAAATCAAAATAAACCATTTTTCCACGTCGTTAGCAATGTTCTCTGTTTTACCATTCACGAAAATAAGGATGCAAGACCTCGAAATAGAAGGATATGCTCTACAAAAAAAGTTATATAAAAAACTGGGACTGAATTTTCACATACGAACTAAAAATAAGGCTATTTTACTTGAAAATCCTAACACTGTTCTTGAGTTTATTCAGCTTATCACCCTTCCAACGAATACAACAAGTGTCTACAATCATGTGAAGAAAGGAATTATCAAAAATATTTGCTCTCATTATTTTTGACAGACAGTGACTCCATCGCATAATCGGACAAAAAACTTTTGCTATTTGTGCGCTCTAAACTAAATGAAAATATAAAATTCTCATCTTTTATTTTTATACTACACTCAAATCATACAAAATAATAGAAGAAACCCAAACATTTTTCACGACAATGTCAATTTTACAAGGAAACAAAAATTTGAAATGTACAGTTTCTCCGCACTTTTCTTTACATTTTCCTTCAAGACGTTTAGGTAGCCAAATTTGTCCATTGTACCATCACACACCCCTAAACCATGATAGTGCGTTCCCCATGCTTAATAGTGGCTTTTGTGTTTTGGCAGCTAAATTCTGTATTTGGTTTACGTCACACAAACTTCTTTCCATTCGAACCTTGCAAATTATATTTGTTTTCGTCAGTAAACAGAACCTTAAAATAAATAAAAACTATATATATATATATACATCTTTTTCAAATAATCTTTTTCTAAAAACCTTCTTTTAAGAAGTGCTCCTTATCATATTTAAGGGGACCCCCCATTCTCGGGGTCAAAATTTTTGTTGATATAATTCGAATCTACACTAATTAAAGAATGTCCCTACAAAATTTCAAGTGAAAATCTCAAGAACTCTTGAAGCTTTATTGTGTCAGCATCAAGTGACGGCTGAAGGGCTTCTCAAACTTTAAACGCGTTTTTCTCTAAACATTTTTTGCGAATGGTAGGCACGATAACTCAAATACTAATAACCCAATCAATTCCAAATGTTTACACGTTTCTCTGTGAGTATATCCAAAGGTCTACCATTTTGTTAATTTTAGAGCGAAGTCAATAATCCTAGTGCATACCAGAGCCAGACATGTACTCTTTCTAACACCGTTGGAATTTTCGGATTCCGATGTTCCAGTGAGGAATTATCATGCCCGCCATCATCAATAAGGACTTTTCTGTAATTACAAAAAACAACAACAAAACAATAACAAACATTTGTTGTAAATTATTTTTCTTCTCTTTTAAATCTTCAATTATATATGTGCAAAGTTACAAAACTTAACAAGCATTGGTATTGATTTACCAGCCCAATGAAAATCTTGAAAAATTAAAATCGAGAATAGGGGGTTCCCTTAATTCTCATGTTATCTTTGTTTGGACTTATGAATGGCTTTTTCTAACAATTCTGCTGTGGTATTCATATGGATGCAATGTATTGCGAACTGTTTTGAGGCCGACATCTTTTCCACCCCAACATCTTTAATACCACAGTTTTAAATGGATCTTTTTCAATCTCCTTCACTAAGTAGCGTCATTTTAAAATTTGTCTTCACCTTTCCGTCTTTTATTTTCTAACCTATCCTCATTACAAAAGCTCTTGATGATGTCTCGGTCAGTATATTTGCTTCTTCCTTCCAAATCACCTATTTCTCGCTCTGTTTTCTCTTCAAAATTCAGTTTTACAATTAACTGCCTTAAAAAAGTACTCAATATTATTTTCAGTGCAAAATTTACCGTAATTTCAAAAAATTTTACATGTTTTTTTATTATGTTTTAAAATTGTAGTACAGTCGAATTCTGTTAAGCGAAAACGTCTAATTTCACAAAAATGTTTTCTCTTAAGCAGGATTTTCAATTAAGAGAACTTCGGATAAGCGAAAGTCGTTGCGCTTAAACGAAGTTTTCAATCAATATCTGAAAAATCGTGAAATTTATAAATCATATTATAAAATGAATTGAATAAGAACTTATTTTTTCGTAGACATTAGGTTGGATGGTTGGAAAAATGTGCAATATAATTTTAGGGCTGCACAAAAAAATTTTAATGAATTTCGTCGACCTTACAAAAATGATATTTTTCTCTTAAACGGTGCTCGTTTCATATATATTTGTGTTTTTTTCAACAAAAAAGTCTTTCTCTTATACAGATTTTCAATTAACCGGTTTTTTTTAAGCGAAGCACATATTAGTTTAAAATTTTTAGTTTCAATTAACCGATTTTTTCGATAAACCGGAGTTCGCTTATCCGAATTCGACTGTATTTTTTGTATTTTATTTTAATTTTGAGCACATATATGCATATCACTCAAACTCATGTTCGATTATGCGTTTGGGTTTGTCAAAATGTCCTACTACGTCTATAACGAACTAATTTGTCCATCCCATTGAGATCGTTATAAACGTGTTCGACTGTATATGAATGTATTAAAATGCTACGTTTATTATTCATGTTTTTTAAATGTTTATTTTCCAATTTATTCACATTTATTCAAATTGCAAATTAAGCCTTCCAGTTGGACCATTTCTTGATTTCGTTCCACAAGTTGGTGCCAGGACATTCAGTGGAACCGACTTGACGATGACCGTACAAAGTATAGCCGGAGACAATTTGACCACGGGAAACAGCAGCAGCCAAGAGGCTCTTGGCAGCAGAGATTTGAGCAGCAGTGGGTTTGTTGTTGTTGTAGTTACCCATGAAGGAGATACCAATGGACTTGGCGTTCCAGCTGGTAGCATGGGCACCCATAACGTTCCAGCCACGACCTTCATAGATGTTGCCATCACCACCGATCAAGAAGTTGTAACCAATATCGGCCCAGCCCAAAGTCTTTTGATGGTAGCTTTGGATATTTCTCAATTCTTGCATGCAGGCAGCCTTGGTGGAGCAGTAGTTACCAGCGGTGTGATGGATGACGGCATAGGCCAAACCATTGCCCAAGGTTGTTTTACCGTTGGCGGGAGCAGCACCCCATTCTGACTTGGAGATGATGGTAATGCCAAAAACGGCTTGGGCGCAGAAGAGGACTGCCAAGAGTGAGAACAGTGCTTTGGATACCATTGCTATGCTTGCAAATTAACACAACTGATGGTGTCAGGTCGTAGACCTAAACTTATATAGGATCCCCTCGAGAAGTGAGTGAATTTGCACAACAGATAGGAATACGTTGCTATCAGCAGTGCTTGTGGAAATCAGTTTCTCACTGCCTATTCGACATTTATCAGTGCTGTCAGTTATTGAAATCCAATTAATAAATATACATTTCTAAATTTACAATGACACTAATAAGTAGTGAACGATTCTATTTTTGTCAGACATGTTGAAGAGAATCGAACCGGAAAATTATCAGTGTTTCACTTTTCTTTATCCCTCTGCTTTTTAAAACTAATAACAATTGTGGGACTTTCGATATAACATACAAATTGTACATCGTCACCTAAAGTGCAAACGGACATAACTACAGAAAAATTGAAATTGAGTTTTTGTTTTATTATTGTTCGTTTTATAAAACTAAATGTTCACATAACATTTTTAACGGCATTTTTAATGATAAATTAGTAGCTGCCATAAAACGTTAATTTACTAAAAAAATAAGAAATTTTTCATAACACAGCTAAACATGGAAAAATTTGCAAGAAATGTATAAATTGTATACAATTGTAGTTACGTCCTTTTGCATTTTATGTGACGATATAAACTTCTCATATGATTGACATTATTTAAGACTCGTCATCCGATAATATCTAAATGCTGCACTCTTTGCCCAAGTTCATCCATGTTCGTTGGGACTCTTTTTCCATGTTCGTTGGGACTCTTTTTCCAGCGCTCTCTTTTAAATGTCCTAAACATTTTCGATAGTATAAAGATCCGAACCATGTGAGCAATTCAAAAATTTTTTTGACAACCAATTTCTAAGAATTTTAGAGGTATGCTTAGGATCCCCATATTGTTGAAACTTTAACACGTCCTCGAGATATGCACTTTTCCCCACATTTTAATTGAAAATTTACCAACCTACACTTTTGCGCACCACTTTTTACAGCATGAATTTCTGATCCAATGAAATGATCCTATAATTGTGGTGACGTTATTATTGAAGTGTTGGTGATGGGAACTTTTGAAGAAGATTAATACAGGTCATCATTTTCAGTCGTTGTTGGTATTTCATATTGTCATCAAATAATTTGTGATAAATTATTTACATTTTTGTCTAATGTAGTCCGTTTCCGACAAAGTTCTGTAGAGCAGATCGGGTTTCAAAGACCAGTGATGGGATCTTATACATTTTTAGAATATTGTCCGATAAAAAAGGATTTCTTTTTTTAATTTGGACTCCTCGAATATGGAAAATATTTCTATTTGCATATTATTGATCTGATTTGATGTCTTGTTATTTTATAAATGACGTCATTCTTTTTTTTTCAATATTATCACTTAAGGGTAATCCTAAATTCGGAATTAACCCGAATTTAGGATTACCTTCAAGTCATAATATTGCAAAATAAAAGAATGACGTTAGTGGAAAAATATAACAGTTTTGTTGTGAGCAGATCTCGTGGCCACTTCTACCATATTTAATACATTTTGCTTGTAACGAACCCTTGGTATATTGTTCAAATAGTTACTTAGTCTATTTGTGCTCTGTAACCATGTACAGAAATCTATATTTTTGCAAATAATAAAAAAATTCTCGTTTCGTAAACCAATATTTTTATTTTCAATTTATTTTACAATTGTTAAAAAAAAAAACAATTAAGCCTTCCAGTTGGGCCATTGCTTGATTTCGTTCCACAAGTTGGTGCCAGGACATTCAGTGGAGCCGACTTGACGATGACCGTACAAAGTATAGCCGGAGACAATTTGACCACGGGAAACAGCAGCAGCCAATAGGCTCTTGGCAGCAGAGATTTGAGCAGCAGTGGGTTTGTTGTTGTTGTAGTTACCCATGAAGGAGATACCAATGGACTTGGCGTTCCAGCTGGTAGCATGGGCACCCATAACGTTCCAGCCACGACCTTCATAGATGTTGCCATCACCACCGATCAAGAAGTTGTAACCAATATCGGCCCAGCCCAAAGTCTTTTGATGGTAGCTTTGGATATTTCTCAATTCTTGCATGCAGGCAGCCTTGGTGGAGCAGTAGTTACCAGCGGTGTGATGGATGACGGCATAGGCCAAACCATTGCCCAAGGTTGTTTTACCGTTGGCGGGAGCAGCACCCCATTCTGACTTGGAGATGATGGTAATGCCAAAAACGGCTTGGGCGCAGAAGAGGACTGCCAAGAGTGAGAACAATGCTTTGGATACCATTGCTATGCTTGCAAATTAACACAACTGATGGTGTCAGGTCGTAGACCTAAACTTATATAGGATCCCCTCGAGAAGTGAGTGAATTTGCACAGCAGATAGGAATACGTTGCTATCAGCAGTGCTTGTGGAAATCAGTTTCTCACTGCCTATTCGACATTTATCAGTGCTGTCAGATATTGAAATCCAATTAATAAATATACATTTCTAAATTTACAATGACACTAATAAGTAGTGAACGATTCTATATTTGTCAGACATGTTGAAGAGAATCAAACCGGAAAATTATCAGTGTTTCACTTTTCTTTATCCCTCTGCTATTGACATCAATCAGAAACCTTTATTTTTAAAACTAATAACAATTGTGGGACTTTCGATATAACATACAAATTGTACATCGTCACCTAAAGTGCAAACGGACATAACTACAGAAAAATTGAAATTGAGTTTTTGTTTTATTATTGTTCGTTTTATAAAACTAAATGTTCACATAACATTTTTAACGGCATTTTTAATGATAAATTAGTAGCTGCCATAAAACGTTAATTTACTAAAAAATAAGAAATTTTTCATAACACAGCTAAACATGGAAAAATTTGCAAGAAATGTATAAATTGTATACAATTGTAGTAACGTCCTTTTGCATTTTAGGTGACGATATAAACTTCTCATATGATTGACATTATTTAAGACTCGTCATCCGATAATATCTAAATGCTGCACTCTTTGCCCAAGTTCATCCATGTTCGTTGGGACTCTTTTCCCATGTTCGTTGGGACTCTTTTTCCAGCGCTCTCTTTTAAATGTCCTAAACATTTTCGATAGTATAAAGATCCGAACCATGTGAGCAATTCAAAAATTTTTTTGACAACCAATTTCTAAGAATTTTGGAGGTATGCTTAGGATCCCCATATTGTTGAAACTTTAACACGTCCTCGAGATATGCACTTTTCCCCACATTTTAATTGAAAATTTACCAACCTACACTTTTGCGCACCACTTTTTACAGCATGAATTTCTGATCCAATGAAATGATCCTATAATTGTGGTGACGTTATTATTGAAGTGTTGGTGATGGGAACTTTTGAAGAAGATTAATACAGGTCATCATTTTCAGTCGTTGTTGGTATTTCATATTGTCATCAAATAATTTGTGATAAATTATTTACATTTTTGTCTAATGTAGTCCATTTCCGACAAAGTTCTGTAGAGCAGATCGGGTTTCAAAGACCAGTGATGGGATCTTATACATTTTTAGAATATTGTCCGATAAAAAAGGATTTCTTTTTTTAATTTGGACTCCTCGAATATGGAAAATATTTCTATTTGCATATTATTGATCTGATTTGATGTCTTGTTATTTTATAAATGACGTCATTCTTTTTTTTCAATATTATCACTTAAGGGTAATCCTAAATTCGGAATTAACCCGAATTTAGGATTACCTTCAAGTCATAATATTGCAAAATAAAAGAATGACGTTAGTGGAAAATATAACAGTTTTGTTGTGAGCAGATCTCGTGGCCACTTCTACCATATTTAATACATTTAGCTTGTAACGAACCCTTGGTATATTGTTCAAATAGTTACTTAGCCTATTTGTGCTCTGTAACCATGTACAGAAATCTATATTTTTGCAAATAATAAAAAAATTCTCGTTTCGTAAACCAATATTTTTATTTTCAATTTATTTTACAATTGTTAAAAAAAAAAACAATTAAGCCTTCCAGTTGGGCCATTGCTTGATTTCGTTCCACAAGTTGGTGCCAGGACATTCAGTGGAGCCGACTTGACGATGACCGTACAAAGTATAGCCGGAGACAATTTGACCACGGGAAACAGCAGCAGCCAATAGGCTCTTGGCAGCAGAGATTTGAGCAGCAGTGGGTTTGTTGTTGTTGTAGTTACCCATGAAGGAGATACCAATGGACTTGGCGTTCCAGCTGGTAGCATGGGCACCCATAACGTTCCAGCCACGACCTTCATAGATGTTGCCATCACCACCGATCAAGAAGTTGTAACCAATATCGGCCCAGCCCAAGGTCTTTTGATGGTAGCTTTGGATATTTCTCAATTCTTGCATACAGGCAGCCTTGGTGGAGCAGTAGTTACCAGCGGTGTGATGGATGACGGCATAGGCCAAACCATTGCCCAAGGTTGTCTTACCGTTAGCGGGAGCAGCACCCCATTCTGACTTGGAGATGATGGTAATGCCAAAAACGGCTTGGGCGCAGAAGAGGACTGCCAAGAGTGAGAACAATGCTTTGGAAACCATTGTGAAGCTAGTCGATTTGAGCTAGTGGTTATTTTTCACTGGTCGCCGGTGCTTATATAGGACCCATAAAAGAATTGTATGGCATTGATAAGATAAAGTGTCGTGTTGCCTAACATCGGAAGATACATTGTTATCAATGCAAATGTTTGTCCGATTTGGTTAAATATGGCCTGTTACTCTATGTCATAAATTCTGCTTATAGAGATTAATTAAAATAGTTGGGTACAAAAATAAAAATACAAAGAAAAAATATCGCATCATTCATGACCAGATGTATGTACAAACTAAAAAATTTCCTTTTGGTTTATTTTTCAATAAACCATCCATTACCAGTTTTATTAATTGGAATTGTTCTAGGGTTTTTTTATATATATATATATATATATATATATATTTTTTTTTTGAGTCATCATTTTTGACGTATTTCTTATATTTCCTGTGAAACGCTATTTACTTATTTTAAATAATATATTGTGATTGTTTCTTGGCCATTCGGCTTTGTATTACAAAACATGAAATGAAAAAATTAGAAAAGTTGTGAAATGTCCATTACGTTAGTTTAGTTTCATATGAATCATTCCATAAAAATATATATTGTCAACAAATTGTGTTTTTGTAAACAATATGATATTCTATACTCATTTCGAAAAGTGGTAATTCCTTCACTTAGAAATGAACAAAACATTGTCCATATGAGACAGCTCCCTGGAAATGTTTAGATTAACGCTGATCAAGCTAATAAATAAATTCATCCTTCAACAACTATTTCTAGAACTTACTGATCTGCCTAAGTTTTTGATATGCCCATATATTAACACGGCTCAGAATAAAATTATCATATGATGTCCGAATAAAGGCCCATGCAATATTGAAATGTCACTAAAATTAGAAGGGTCATAAAATGTTCAGTAGTTCGCACGTCCAGCTCTTTATCAACAAAAGCGGCGAGTGACCCCATAAATCACGATAAATCTCCATTGTTTTCTGCTTCGTTTTGTTTTGTTATGCTTTGATTTGATTTCGTTTTGTTGTTTCATCTTTGTTTTTGATTTTGTGTATGGTGCGAGCGAAATAAATCAAAGTGAAGTATCTGAAATAAATAACATTTTGTTTTGGGTATTAACGCTTAAAAAACCTGGGCAAATATTTGCCGTTTGAAAATTGTTACGTCAATAAATGATAATAAGAAGAGATTTGATGTTGCCAAAAAATAGTAAAAAGCCTGCAATTTCAAAAACATCGCCCTAAATCTGAACAATTTATTACAGTCTTTGATGTACGAAGACCCGCACGTGTTCATAACGTAAAAACAATGGACTATGCCTACCGATGCGAAGGTGTACATCAAATATAAGTTAGAATAATATAATACAAATAAAATTAATGAAGACGGTCCGTCAACGATTTTAATGTCCCTTACAGTTTTTTGTCTGGAAGTTCCTAAAGTCCGACCATTATAATTAATTTTCTTATGACATTCTCTGCTTCTGCACATTTTCTGTTCGTTCATTCCAAAACAATTTTCAATAATTTCTGGAGAAAAAGCATTATTCCATTAGTTGTAGCTTGGCTGGCCGACTGTAGATTTTTATTATTTTAGAATTCATGAAAGGAAAATAATCGCATCGAGGAGCTGCTAATGCTATCTGTTTGAGAAAAAACTCAATTTATCTGCATTTAAAAGTTCACTTATGTCGGAAATCACAGCAGCAGTTGTTTGCAACAACGCCATCAATGGCACGGCAACAACAACAGCGTCAGCATCGAAACAGACATAAGATGAGCTCATTAAACTGACAACATCATTAACATTTATAACGTCTAGAGCTGAGAACAGCAAAAGATTCAGCAACCGGCACCAGCAGCATCAAACGAACTAGAAGCATGGCAATGCATTGCCACGAGCTAGATGTGTTGCGGACTTTTCCCCTTTTAAAGGCATTAAATATCATCGCATGTTTTGGCACCAAAAAAACTGAACTGAAGTGGGTAAAAAATAAGAATTTGAAACATTACTCTTCTTTAGATTTCACATTTGGGATGCATGCAACAAGACCCACAATCATACCGGCAATGCTGGCACAAATGATTCCTAAATATCTAAGAGTTTTTATTTTTCAAGTGCTGCGTCCCGTTCCCCATCCCATCCACCAGGCCGGTCCTTACTATTCCATTACGTTAACATATATTTGCCAAAAAGGAAATGTTGAATGTATCTGCTGTCGTCGGGGGCGAGAGGCGTTCGGTTGTCGTGGAAAATGCAGTGGTAACGATAGTAGTTTTGATTGTATTACGACGACGCTATCAACGCTTTTAGTATTCGTTGTTAAATGAGCTGAAAATTTATTCAAATGTCACAACAACAAAAATGTGTGGAAAAGGAAACAAAAAGACCTTGCATTGGTATGGAGATATCACAGTAAACTATATACAGGAGTAACAAGTATTCCATGTCATTGATAGGACGATAGGTAGGGTGAATGAATAGTGAAATAATCTCATTTCGTTTTAGGAAATCTGGTTATCGGTATATATATATATATCCGAGTAATATTTCCGCCCATGGGTGTGGTTTGTTTCACAAATATCTCTTATGCTTCGCCCATTGGCGTGGTTCAATTTTGAAGCGCTGCACATAAGTGCGGTTTAACTTTTATGCTCCGCCCATAGGCGTGGTTTCATTTTTAAGCTCCGCCCATAGACGTGGTTTAATTTTTATGCTCCGCCC